TTATTATTATTATTATTATTATTATTATTATTATTATTATTATTATTATTATTATTATTATTATTATTATTATTATTATTATTATTATTATTATTAATTATTACCATTAGATATACAGCTTAACATTAGAGTGAGATCTTACATAATATATACATATAGACAGAATATACTTCACAAAATAAATTAAAATATTTTTTACTGAATTTATGCGTTACTTCGACAGTTGGTCATAATTTAAAATTTTAACAGATTATGTTTTCTCTTAATTCTTCCAACATCTGGTACATATTTTATAAAAGTAAATAAAACTAACATTTTGATACCGATTATATATAAATAAGTAACAGTACTCAATATAAAATACTTAATTTTGGAATTTGGAAACCTATACTCGTATAGAAAAATCTAAAAATTTGTAATTCATTTTATGCCGGGTGGTCCAGAAAGGTCTGTACAAAATTCTACCACAAATTCTTAAGATAAAAATAGATAAGAAGTTGATAATTACGGAGTGTATCTCCAGGGCATCAAAGTTAATAATTTATTTTCAAGTTTTTTCACTATTTATTGATAGAAACGTGACAACGTTATAAAACTTGGTATACAGGGTAGGGTAAACAATTTTGCTCTCTACAATTATATTCTTATATGCAACATATATATTGACTTATTGTTTTATATTTTGTGGTACAAAATAAAGTTAAAGATAACACCTGCCAATACATGTCTATTCACAATGATAATCGAGGTCTATACTTCTCTAATCTAGGTATTAGTCAAACACACTCCCGGTCAATCAGCTGTGCTGTTTCGTCAGAGGACCGGCAGGGTGAGCTCTTATTGGGGCAGGGGGGGGCGCATAGTGGGCTACAGAACTGAGTGTCAGTTGGCTCCGGCATTCAGGGATGCACAACCCTCTAATGCGCTGTCCTGTTTCTGGTAGCCCTGGACTGCAACGCAGCACCCCCTTGTTGGGTTCCGTAGTGGGTGGGTCCGCGGTAAGTCTGAGACCTTGGGATAGTAGTGCCCTTGTCCTGGTACACTCTGACCAGCTGGTAAGGCTGACGAAAGCCACTCTCTGGATTCCTGTGGAAGCCGAAAGCGACCACGAGGAGAAGGAAGTATGAGGAGACTGAGGAATACTCAGCCAGGCTATGTAAGACCATGCAAAAGAGAAAGATATTATTTAGATCTATTAACTAGAGAGAGGATGGCAAGAGTACCACCAACATAAATGAAAGTCTGGAACTGCTGATGCAGACTCACTTCCCGGGATCCACGCTAGTGGAACAGAAAAAATGCCCAGTAGAAACCGAAAACCATCCGGCGGTCATGGACTGGCAGATTGCCAATCAGACTGCAACCGAAGATAAAATAAGATGGGCAGTGCAAACCTTCTCACCCTTTAAATCACCATCTGCTATGGAACCTGGTTCTAGACAGTTTCCTATACCAGCTCAACTTTGAAAATATACTATACTATCGCTTATGCTGATTAGTAGAAAATTCGAAGGGATTCTTTGCCAAACAGTGCAAATAACCCTAAGAATCATTGAAAAGTGGTGTGAGAACCATACTCTGTCTGTCAACCCCAGGAAGACGGAAATGGTTCTCTTCACGAGGAAGAGAAAAATGGGGCCAATAAAAGCACCAACTCTACTAAATTCCACGCTAAGCTTTGCATCGGACGTGAAATACCTAGGAGTTACACATTTTGAAAGGAGACTAAAAAAGGCATACATATCCTGTGAGCAGTGCCGCAGAACCATTGGTAGAACCTGCTAATGAAACCAAAAGTGGTCATGTGGATATACACTGCCATTGTGAGACCAATGATAACCTGCAGCTAAATAAAAGCTTAGCCAGAACTGTTTGTCTGAGCATAAATGGAGCCACCCACCACCATAGCGATGGAGGTAATGCTGTGTCTACCACTTCTGAATATCTATCTAAGACAAAGTGGCCTTGAATACCATGATTGACTTCAAGAACTTTGGTTTCAAACAGAATGTAGGATGTGGAGAAGTTAGGAGTCACCTATGGAATGGAGTTGTCAAGAAGATATGTCTTCTGTAGGCAGACACAGTATTTCTTCCCAGTTTGGGTTCGATAGACCCTACACAGAACTCATCAGAAGACTTCACCTCAAAAAAATATATTATAACAAGCTATTTAAAATATCATTACGAATTTTGTTTATTTGGAAATATACTCTTCTGCAGTATTTCAATACCAAAAAATGAAACGACGTAGCTAACGAAATTATGATTAAATAACGCTAACTGTGACACCGTTGCAGAATATCATATGATCGAAATACATACTACATAGATATTCGTTGATTCTTTAAAAACATTTTTATCAATAACTGTATACATATATTATACATTTAAGTAAATACCGTAACTCAAAAAACAGATAGCTATTAATAAAGAAGTGTACAAAAGAAATCCGTAAATACGTCTGGCAACGTTACCAAAGTGTTGCTAGGATACGCGTAGGAATGCGGGCCGCTGCATTTGATTATTCCTAAAATTCTGCTGGTGCAATTCGGAAATTCAAAACTGCTGGCCTATTTCGCCAAAAAAAGCCTAAAGCCTGCCATTCACACTTCACAGGCGCACGGGTCCGACCCAAGAATATTTATAATACGGTCCGACCCATCCTATCGTGAATGTGATAGGACCGACATTGTGGTATGGTCGCAGGACCGCAGAATCAACGAACGGACTTACGACACGACCCGCACTGATCCGTGCTGTTTCATTTAGTGATGGGCATAATCGACCAATTTTGATAATCGAGTTATCGGTAATCGAGTACTTCTAATAATCGAGTGATCACTCGAGATACGAGATATTGGTCGTTTTCATCCCAGCGGCGCACAAATATGTTTGTATTAGTCATATTCATATATTACTTATAAGCGTAGCTAAAAAAAAAAATAGCTCACGCACCTCAAAACCTAACCACTTTTTCGTTTTATTCTAAAAAAAAGGTTACGCAATCAGTGACTATTTGCAGTATGCACTAACATTTTGGGGTGCAACCGTAGGCTAATAATCACTCGAGTTGTGGGAGTAAACATCTCGAGATATCTCGAGTGATCTCAATAATCGAGTACCACTCGATTTTTCACTCGAAATCTCCCATCACTA